GTTTTAATATTATTCATACTCTTTTCACTTTTATTGTTTTATTGAAGTTTAAGTTTCCAACCCATCAGTCTCTCTCCCTTTTCTCTTCTCCTTCCCCTTCTGGAAAGGACGAGGTTAACAGAGAGCATCTGCCACCCTCTTTAAGCGCTGGCCCAGTCTTAAATGGTGACACTCTGCGATCCCTTTCAGCACAGCAGAGCTGCAGGATGGCTCTCACTCTGCACCCATAAGAAGTGAGGGTGAAGAGGAAGCAGCTGACAGCCATGCCACCAATGCTGAACCTGTTCATAGCCTTGGCAGACGTGCCAGCACAAGCCATGACCTGAAGGGCTGGCAGATCACCGAAGAAGTGGTAGATGTGCCTGGGCCCGCAGTAAGCCAAATGAGAGGTAAGTATTGTATGCAGAGCAGGAAGCAGGGAACTAGCCAGCCATGTCCCTGCCACCAGCCAGATGCACACAGACTGATGCATGATTTCCCCATAGCACAGTGGGTTGCAGATAGCCAGGCAGCGACCATAGGACATAACACTATAGAGGAAGCATTCGTCCCTGTCCAGCAGCTGGGAGGAGTACATGCAGCTGTGGAAAGAGATGGGTGAGCCCCCTGGCCTGAGGAAGCCCACCAGCATCTTTGGAACAAACACACTGGAGAAGCAGAGGTCCAGGAAAGAGAGCTTGCCCAGCAAAACATGTGTGGATGCCCACAGCCTGGAGTCACCTGTCAAGATTAGCACCATAAGGCAACTTCCCAGGAGAGTGAAGATATAGATGGTGAAAAACTGCAAAAAGTGATGCACGTTCAGCTCTGGGGCGTGGGGGAGGCCCATGAGGATGAAATCTGTCATGGCGCTGTGATAGCTTTTCTCCTTCCAACCAAGACTTCTGTCCCTAAAGAAGGAGATGTTGTTGCTCCTTCTCCATGGTAAATCATGACAGGCCAAATTGTGAATGACACACAATGCCTGGTGTCTCTTTTCAGCCCTAAGAGACAGAGATGTACCAAGTCTGAGCAGGGAAAGTACAAGCATTGGAAATCCTTCCCCAGATTTTGAGAGGCACCCAGGACCTTGTAGAGTTTTCTTGCTCATGCAGACTGGAGTGGGGTTGACATTCCCAGCAAAGTGTTCTGTGTGCAGATTGTTTCAATTTTGGTTCTCAGAGAGCTCTGCAAAGGCCATAGCCTTTCTCTTGTTAAATTCTGCCCAAGTTTCAGAAAACACTGAACTGAGAATCTGACTGAGCCAAGCTGATTGCACTCAAACCATCAGTAGGTAGTTTAAATAACCACACCAAAAAAAAAAAGATCTCTGGGATTTGAATTGTGAAACCTCCATGGATCTTGTGCCCTTTTCCTACCTTTCCAAGACCTCCTTATTTGGGCAGGCAAACAAGGGATCATGCCAAGAGCTACTAGCGCACTTTGGCAGTGCTGTGGCAAAAGCGCTTACTCATCTGTCAGAAGAAATGCCATCCCTGCCCCTTTTACAAGGACAATTGCAGATGATATCATCACTGCGAAGGACCTGAGGTACATTATGCTAATTACATGGCTTGGTGTGGTAGGAGTCAGGAGTAATAAGTGGTATCACGATTATGGCTATTAATAGTACAACTAAAGGAAAAAAGACTTCAGACCTGCAAGTGAAAAGGTCTTACAAAGCTTTTGGCCTTCAGTCATTCTGAGATATGCCTCGTGGTCTGTAATTCCCTCTTGATGGAAGACATGAGTGTGGGGGGTTCCATTCTTCTACTTCTACACTGCTGTCAAAACATCTGGATTTTCATGCAGGAAATAGTATCTCAGACAGTAGTGGCTGCCCAGAGACATTTCCACCGATCAGAATGGATGAGATTTACATGTAAAAGAATCCTTTCCTCACAGAATGGCAGCCAATTCCTTAGCACAAATTCTCTGGGGAGACCAATGAAGCAGTTAAGAGCTCTACACCTGCCTGCATTTCTCTGGGAAGTGCACCCAGCACCCACCCTTGTCCTTGCTGATCTTCACGTTCTCCTGCACTCTCAGTATCAGAGCAATTTGATCTGCCTCAGAAATACAGTTTCACCGTCCCCATTTCTGTGCTAGCAGCCCTCAGCTCCCACATGCTCAGCTCCAGTTTCCAGTCTCAACACATTCAGCAGCTATTCCTTGTAATAACATGTCACTGCTGAGGGGAGAGGAAGGCAGAGTAGAAGCCATGGTGTGGTGGACAGATGAGCAGGCATTTGCCTTAAACGTTTCTTGGTGCATAAGTGCAACCCCCGACCACCCAGGATGTACCGAGCCTGTGCTAAACCAAACCATGCCTACCCTCACATGGCATCATGTCCACCAGGTATATGCACGAATTTTCCTGGAACCAGGTGGAGATTTTGGGACTTGGATTGTATAAAAATGGTAACACCAGAAGCTGAGGAGAGACCTCCACCACCAAGACAACAGAATGAGGACCAACGGGACACCACTGGATCCATGGGTGGTGAAATCTTCTTTCTCTTTCTTTCTCTCTTTCTTTCCTTCTTTCCTTCTTTCTTCTTTTTTTTTCTTTCTTCTTTCTTTCGCCCTCTCTCTCTCTGCCTATAAGGGTAATATTGTTAAGAGTTTGTTGCATTTCATTCTGGGCACATACAGGTAATATCATTGCATGTTTGTCGTTGTAATATAATCAAAACTTTTGCCAAGCCACTATCTGTTGTAATCAGGTCAAATTTTCAGTAAATGTGTGACTTTGATTGAACTCTAGAGTGATTGTCATCACTCCTGATTACCATGCAGAGAAATCAAAAGTTAACCTCACCCTCACCCACTGAGCAGGACAGGACACATGCGCATCCCAAAGGCTGTTCCTTACATTACCACTCCTGCCATTCTGCAGAGGAAATCATCATCCAGAGCCCCACACCCACCGCCTTCCACCCCAGCACAGCTCCTGCCATAGCAAGAGGAACACCCTTCCTTGAGAGCTCATGGGGCTGCTGAGCCCTCAGGGCCTCCTGCCTTTCTGGGCATTTGTGGGCAGAGACACAGCAAGGCAAGGCCTGATGGTCAGTGACAGAGAGCATCCAGGGATGTCTTCCTCAGTGCCAAGGGACAGTATCCAAAAGAGGCACCCCTGCATGGTGCCCCAACCTCCCATTCCTCTGTTAATGGAGAAAGATGTCCTTGTGCCTTCACCTCCTTCCACCCTAGAGCACCACCTTTCTCCTTTGGCATTGAGGAGTGTTCGCAGAGGGAAGGACCAGATGGAGGTCAGGCTTGAATGCAGCACAACTTTAATGAGTGAAATGAGGGAAACCAAGTCACTCCAAGTGGAGGCCAGAAGTGCAGGGAGCATCTGGGACTGGAGAGAGTCTGCACACCTTGGCCGTGGCATAGTTTCTGCATGATGTTGGTCTGCCTGACCAGGGGCAGGACCTTGCTGCCCATGGGAACTGAAGAAAACAATGAAAAGGAAGAGAAAGGCAAAACCAATCAGCTATCCTGAAAACAACATCCAAAATTTTGGTTCTCTTCCATTACCAATTTCTGAGTTCCACAAAGATTTTCCTTGGGGCTTTCCCAGCATCTTTATCAGGGGAGGCACCTTCTACTACATAAGCAGTTAGAAATGCCAGAGAGGTCACAGCACCCAGAGTTGATGGGCACTCCATCACAGCTGAGGATGCTGCCAACAGCAGCAGAGGTGGAGGAGTTCACAATGGTGTTCCATGGGAAGGAGCTGAGGATGGGGCTGGGCAGGGTCACCATCACAGGAGAGGGCTCTATGATGACACAGGAGTCCTGACACAGGGCTCATTGCAGCTGTTGGTCAGCAGGGTTGGGCTGCAGGGCTGTCATGGCAGGCACTGATTGTAGCAGGACACGTCTTGGAGCTGGAGGTGCACCTTGGAGAAAATCAGAGTACAGGCATGAGTGAGAAAGCAGCCTTGCTCCCCACCACAAGGAAGACAAGCTTCCTGCTGGTTGGCCAGGAGGAGGCTGTGCAGGGAGACACCAGGGGTTCTTTCCCTTGGACTCAGGGGCCCTATAAAGAGCAGCCAGTCCTAGAGAGGTTCCTGCCAAGACTGTAGGGCACAACCATCTCAGCCAATCCCTAGTGTCCCTCTAAGCCAAACACTCTTCCCCATTCAATGTCCCTTAAGAAGGAGCTCGAAGCTCAACAGTAGGACAGAGTACATATCATCTGAGATGGCCATTGAGGCCAGACCTCATCCTGGAGTATAAGGAGGAGAAAGAGCTTCCTTCATCTGGTTGTCAATGCAGAAGAAGTCAAGAGAAGTAGGTGAGGGAGCAAGAAGTAGTACTGGCTTCTATACTGGGCCTGCACTTGCCCAGGCCCAGAGGCACTCTTTGTGGAGGTAGTAATCTTTTGACATGCTCATCTCTAAAACAAAATGTCCTAGCTAATGACATAGGCTGTGTTTTGATGTTCTGCAGTGGTATCTTTTAATTTTCTCCTTTCTAGCATGTCCATTCCTTCATGGAGTGCTGGGAATGCAGGCCCAAGGATTTCCAGGGCCGAAGCATGTCAGAGCAGGCAGAAGACACAGATCAAGAGCCAGATGGGTCTTGCGCAGATAGAAGATGCAAGGCTGGGGCACTCTGGTGGGGTTGTTTGTGTCCTCCTTCTCAGGGAGGGGCTCAGCTGCTTCCAGCCCTTCAATTCAGCCCCACATCCCAAGGTGCTTGTCCATGAGGACATGTCACATCCTTCCCTCTCCCTCACTGCTGGGATTTGGATATTTTCCTCCTAATGCAGCCCTAAGGAGAACACTGCTTCTCTGTTTCGCCTCCTGCCATTCCTGGAAAGTCTCTGGAAGGCCTTAGCATACATTATGGATGTGTTTGGGGCTTTATTCCAACTCAAGTTGCTTCAGCCCTTCCCTGCCAGAGTGATCCCCAGTGTCTCCTCTCTTGAGCCCACAGCCCTTGTGTAGATGCATATGTGCTTTTTGTGTAGACATTTGGGCATGTGGACCTCTGTGAATTCATGTGTGTGCACAAAGGTGTGCCCAGCCAACAACTTATTGAGATGGTGCTGAATCAGGAAAGGACTGAGACCTTGGACTAAGCAGGTATTGAACTGAAGGGACCAGAGTCCTGATGTCACTGTGCTGTGCCTAGGAAAGCCAAAGAGATGATGAGTACTTTGGTCTCCAGCTCCAAGGACCTTCATGTCTTGTGTTGAAATCTGAATCTGACTGACAGCAACTGGCCCTGGGGGAAAGGCATGTCTGATTCAAGGTCACACACTCCAACGCCTGCTGTTCCCTAACTGGGTCAGGGAAAGACTCTCTTTCCCCCAGGGGTTGCTCGTGGCAGAAGGAATGACACTATCTGAGAGGTGGAAACACTGTCTGTCTTGGGAGCTGTTTCCCTAGGAACTCCTCTTCTGAGTGACTTCTGGCTTCTTTCTGTCAACGATCTTCTTCCTCCTATTCCAGCCAGGCTTTCCATGTCCATAGTCATCACATTTGGAGCCTTCTGGTGGGAAATCGTGGCTACAGCAGCAGAGAGAATTTCCCTCCCTGTCTGCAGGTGAGAACTGAGTCCCTTCTTTTATCTCTTCCATCCTTGGCCCCCCCCCCCACCTATGAGTCCATTTTTCTCCACATCCCCTTCACTTCTCCAAAGGTCTCGGGCATTGGCTGCAGAGAAGCACCTGGAGGGAGTCTCTCATCTGGTTCTTTCCCATCCCCATGAAGACAGCGTCTCAGCAAACAGGACTGAAAGCACAGGGGCTGTTTCCCAGATAACATCCAGCAGGGGTGGTGCAGCAATCATGGGGAAACACGGACATTCACTGCAACTTACCCCTGTAGGATGTCCGAGTCAGACCAGAGATTCACTACAGGTTTCAGTCGGTCTCTTATTCTCATTTTGATCTCACTCATTGACATCACAAGAGAATGGAAGAAATTGCACAGCCATGTACACTCAGATGCATGAGAAAACATGCTGACATCCACACATACACACA